CATCGGCCTCAGAGCTGTCCCTCCACTGTGTAAGTAGGATGTAGTGACCCTCCAGCCTGGTGACCCTCTGGCTGCCTTTCAAGGTTGCTGTGACCTTGACCTATGGCTGTTGCAAAGCTGATGATTGACCTTCCACATGTGATTCTGAACCTTTCCTATTCCCTTGAATCATGAATTCCTGGCACCATGATCCATGGACAAAGTTTCAAGGTGCAGTGAAACCCTGTATGTAAACCTCTGATATTCACATATGTAGCTTCAGAGCACGACTTGTCAGTGCACAGAGCTACCATTAGGCAAAATTCAGTGCTGGCATGTTGACTTGAGACGTGTAGGCATTATAACCAACAAATGTTCTAGAAAAAAAAAAATCATCAAGATTTTTTTCCTTTGACAAAGGTGAAAAGAAAAACAACCAGCTTATATTTTCTTTACTTTTTGTTTTAGAAGTTTCAGTTCAAATGTACACCCCTTAATATCCAGTAGTCAGAGCCACATGTAGTTTAGTCCTCTCTTTTTCTTTCTTATTTATTTTTTTTAGCTTCAGCATCTTGATTCATCTCAAAGGGTTATGACAATTGAAGTTTCTTTTCTGTTGCTTTTTATTTTGTTTATATTGGCCGCATTTCTCTGTGAGTTGTTTTTATTAGTTTATTAGGTGTGATTACTTTGTTTTGCATTTTTCTGTGTTATAAAAATGTCCTTTTCTTTTTATTTCTTTATGCTAAAATATGCCCACATTACTAAGGGTAGTGTATCCATTGAAGCTAGACAAATTATTTTCTTTTGACAGTTTAAAAATTGATAAATTTAGAGATGTTCATTAAGTGTCTATACAATGTTAGTCTCTCAAGATATTGTGTTAGAATGGAGCATTTATCTACTTATGGTTACTTATTTGGCCAAAGGGAAGTCAATGTAGCATATAGCAGTAGATTTTGGCTTCAAAAAATGCTGTTAAAGAATTGATAAGGAACAGATTTTTAGAGTTTACAAGATATGCAATGTTTCTATATTTTGGAGGTTTTTTTCTAGTGATGTGTAGAATATTTTGCCCAAAAAGTATTATGAAAGTGAAGTACTTATTTTTCTTTTTATAAACTTGATGTATTACTTATACTTACATGATGCCGGAAAAAACAACAACCAAAGCTTATTATGATATCATGATCATGTTAAGCTTATTATGATATCATGTTAACTCATTTCAATTTGTGGTATTTCAGGATTTTACTTATAATGACTGGTTAACCCATTGCCGCCAGGGAAAATGAACAAAAAATAGGGAAAATACTGTACTCATTTTTTATATTTTTGTGAAATATCTCTGTCCATAGATGGCTCTGCTAGTCCTGATTTCACCTTTCCTTAAATTGGCGGGAAAAACGTATTCTTACTAGTGCTATAAATATAGATGGTGTTATTTTTAACAGCAAATTAAGATAGCGTTAAATATTTTCGTAAATCGATGAAAAGGGTGAACGGGCGAGACAGGCAGTACTGTAATTGGCTCATTGGATACTTAGTACAAGTGTAGCCATCTATGTGTAAAAACAATCGAACAAGTCGACTCAAAGTGGGAATGGCATGTACGTACATGCCATCCCCGGCGGCAATGGGTTAAATGTGTGTGACATCGAAAGTATACCACATTGTTATATCATTCAGCTGTGAAGATTACCAGAGAGTACTCAGTGTGGTGGGTCTGAAAGCAAGTACTTTGTAGGAGACTAGCATTGCTTCATAGAGAAATTATTGTCATGGATTTATATCTTAATTGTATGCTAAACATAAAACCCAGGAATTTATTTTAAAAGAATTGTCTTTGCTACTTTTTTTGAGAATATAGCATGTTTATACTATTTTCAGAAACATTCTATAATAAAATATTCATGCATATATATAAATTTTACCATTGTTGTGTTGAAACACTAACACATAAGATTCATATTTATTTTATATATTCTTTAATTAATCTACTTTTCTAAAGTACAAATCAGTCATCATATCTGAGACTGTGACACAACTGGGTTCAGTTGCTTTCTGTATTCATGATATAACCTAAAACTTAGTAAGATATTGGGAAAAGAGAATCTTGCTGTAATTTTAAGGTAGTTGATATTACTTTTTTCAGAATAATGTATTAGGTGGTGATATTTTCATGTATGTCGCTACAGTAAATGAAACAGTTCTATAAGGTTTTAGTAATTGTTTTAGAGGAACTTAAAGACTTTCATGCCTCTCTGTATTACATGGTGTAAAAAGGAGTCAGGGTCAGAAATACCAATTTTCTTTCTTATTTCTGGTCTTCCTTTGTTATTTTGCCATCAAGGGGTCTTAGAGCAATCTGGAAAAAGCTAAGAACATGAGGTTAGTTTAGAAACAAAGAAAAGACTTTGTAGAAACTCAGATTTAGAATTTCTTTTCCTCTTTCCTTTTAATGAATGAATAGTTGTTGTTAGAAGTTTATTATATTTTTAGACTTTATCTAGTTGTATGC